ATTAACATTTATTTATCTCCTTTCTTCCCAAACATCAATCTAAGTCATCACATTAAAAGTCATCCCAAGACAAGTCGTCCTAACGTAAGTCATCCCAATATAAGTCATCCCAGCATAAGTTATCCCAATATAAGTCATCCCAGCAGAGGTCATCCCAACATAATTCATCCCAACGTAAGTCATCCCAACATAAGTCATCCCAACATAAGTCATCCCAACATAAGTCATCCCAACATAAGTCATCCTAACATAAGTCATCCCAACATAAGCCATCCTAACATAAGTCATCCCAACATAAGTCATCCCAGCATAAGTCATCCTAACATAAGTCATCCCAATATAAGTCATCCCAATATAAGTCATCCCAACATAAGTCATCCCAGAATAAGTCATCCCAACATAATTCATCCCAACATAAGTCATCCCAATATAAGTCATCCCAATATAAGTCATCCCAACATAAGCCATCCTAACATAATTCATCCCAACGTAAGTCATCCCAGCATAAGTCATCCTAACATAAGTCATCCCAATATAAGTCATCCCAATATAAGTCATCCCAATATAAGTCATCCCAATATAAGTCATCCCAATATAAGTCATCCCAATATAAGTCATCCCAATATAAGTCATCCCAACATAAGTCATCCCACATAAGTCATCCCAACATAAGTCATCCTAACATAAGTCATCCCAATCTAAGTCATCCCCAACATAAGTCATCCTAACATAAGTCATCCAATATAAGTCATCCCAATATAAGTCATCCCAACATAAGTCATCCTAACATAAGTCATCCCAATATAAGTCATCCCAATATAAGTCATCCCAGCATAAGTCATCCCAACATAAGCCATCCTAACATAAGTCATCCCACATAAGTCATCCCAGCATAAGTCATCCAACATAAGTCATCCCAATCTAAGTCATCCCATATAAGTCATCCCAAAATAAGTCATCCCAGAATAAGTCATCCCAACATAATTCATCCCAACGTAAGTCATCCCAATATAATCATCCCAATATAAGTCATCCCAACATAAGCCATCCTAACATAATTCATCCCAACGTAAGTCATCCCAGCATAAGTCATCCTAACATAAGTCATCCCAATATAAGTCATCCCAATATAAGTCATCCCAATATAAGTCATCCCAATATAAGTCATCCCAATATAAGTCATCCCAATATAAGTCATCCCAATATAAGTCATCCTAACATAAGTCATCCCAACATAAGTCATCCCAACATAAGTCATCCTAACATAAGTCATCCCAATATAAGTCATCCCAACATAAGTCATCCTAACATAAGTCATCCCAATATAAGTCATCCCAATATAAGTCATCCCAACATAAGTCATCCTAACATAAGTCATCCCAATATAAGTCATCCCAATATAAGTCATCCCAGCATAAGTCATCCCAACATAAGCCATCCTAACATAAGTCATCCCAACATAAGTCATCCCAGCATAAGTCATCCCAATATAAGTCATCCCAGCAGAGGTCATCCCAACATAAGTCATCCCAACATAAGTCATCCCAACATAATTCATCCCAGAATAAGTCATCCCAACAGAGGTCATCCCAGCATAAGTGATCCCAACGCAAGTCATCCCAGCATAAGTCATCCCAACATAAGTCATCCCTAACATAATTCATCCCAACATAAGTCATCCCCAATATAAGTCATCCCAATATAAGTCATACCAATATAAGGCATCCCAACATAAGTCATCCCAACATAAGTCATTCCCTAAGCATAAGTTCATCCCAATCGTAAGTCATCCCAGCATAAGGTCATCCTAACATAAGTCATCCCAATCATAAGTCATCCACAAGCTAAAGTCCATCCCAACATAAGTCATCCCAATATAATTCATCCCAGATATAAGTCATTCCCAACTATAAGGTCATCCCAATCATAAGTCATCCCAACGCATAGTCATCCCTAAGCATAAGTCCATCCCAACTATAGTCATCCCAACTAGTCATCCCCAACTATAAGTCATCCTACCCATAAGTCATCCCAACATAAGTCATCCCAACATACGTACATCCTAACATAAGTTCATCCCCATAGTAAGTCATCCCAACATAAGCTCAATTCCTCACAATAAGTCATCCCCAATAATAGTAATCCCAACTATAAGTCATCCCAACATAAGTCATCCCAGTATAAGCCATCCCAGCATAAGTCATCCCAACATAAGTCATCCCAACATAAGTCATCCCAACATAAGTCATCCTAACATAAGTTATCCCAGCATAAGTCATCCCAACATAAGTCATCCCAACATAAGTCATCCCAGCATAATTCATCCCAGCATAAGCCATCCCAACATAAGTCATCCCAACATAAGTCACCCCAACATAAGTCATCCCAACATAAGTCATCCCAACATAAGTCACCCCAACATAAGTCATCCCAACATAAGTCATCCCAACATAAGTCATCCTAACATAAGTCATCCCAACGTAAGTTATCCCAACATAAG